TATTGCATTTACATAATAAAAAAATAATATATACATAATTTTGAAATTTATATGATTTTATGTTTCTTGTAATAAAGGTTGTTCTATATATTTCGTATATGTTGGTTTTTGTTTTAATTCTCCTACTTTATTGACTTATACTTAGCAACACACGATGCATCAATATTGCTATGGCAATTGCTGATGGCTTCAAATTTTCTTTACGACGATAGAAGAATAATCCTGATATAAATATATAAGTGATATTTTTCTTATAATACGTCGATTACTATTGAATAAAGTGTGAACGATTCAGTAACATAATGGCAACAGCAATAAGGGATCGAGTTATTCCTGCTATGGATACTCTAGTTAAATATGATAATCCAATCTTAGTCACAACTCGTCCAGAAAAGGTTCAATTTTTACAAATAAAATAAATGCCCTTCAAAAAAAGAAAAAAATGGAAAATGACATAGTCTCAAAATTTAATAATTAAAAGCACAATTAAAGTGTTAGTTTATCATAAATTATTTAATATCTTTCATTATTAACACAGGTATTCAAGGAACAGGCACCAAAAATCGGAGCAACTGTTTGTAAAGTTGAAACTACTATTCCTACACTTGATACACGACACGAAACTTCTGAAATTCTGAACAGAATTCTGCCGCCTAAAAAATGGGAAGAGGATGGTCAAACATGGACTCAACAAGTAAGATATTTTTTGTTTTGATAAATAATACTCTACTTTCAGAAATAAACAAGTAACTAACATATAATTGTGAACATAACATATTGTTTTATGTCAGGTATCAAGTACACCAGCAACAAGACTAGATGTTATTAATTTACAAGAACAACTTGACATGAGATTGCAACAAAGGCAAGCAAGAGAAACTGGTATATGTCCAGTACGTCGGGAGCTTTATACACAATGTTTCGGTGAAAGTTTTTCATATCAATAAATCATTAATTTTACGTATTATACTTACGGAAGTTAAGATCGTGGAATAATACTGTTTTGTAGATGAAATAATACGTCAGGTGACGGTAAATTGTGCAGAACGTGGATTGCTTTTACTTAGAATTCGAGATGAACTGAAAATGACATTAGCTGCATACCAGACTTTGTATCAAAGTAGTATTGCTTTCGGTATGCGTAAAGCTCTACAAGTATGCACTATCCCCTTAAATATACAAAAAGATATCTATTAAAGAATGTCAAAGCTTCGATAAAATTTCTACAGGCTGAACAAGGAAAGGAAGATTTAATTGCTGCTGCAGATGAGCTACAATTACAAAAAGTTGAATTAGAAAAAGCAGTTGTTGAACTGAAACAGAAATTTGAACAGTCTGAAAGAAGAGCTGCTGAACTGAGGGAAGCTGAAGAAAAGAAGCACATGGAAGAAATACAATTCCTGAAAAAGACAAACCAACAGTTAAAGGTAACACAATATTTTAACAACAGGAGGTTTTATGTTAATTCTAAATAAGTATAAAAAATTCATCAATTAAATTGTTTTTATTTCAGACACAGTTAGAGGGTATTATTGCACCAAAGAGATAAACTAAATAGGAATGATAATTGTAATTTATAATGAAACAAACAACAGATATATCAGTTCATAGGAATACATTAATTTAATTTATTTTAATCTGGTAATAAGATCAATATAAAAATGATAAGATATTTACTTTCTTATTTTATGATAAATTCGCGCTTACGCATTTTATGCCTTTTCTTTACAAATTTGTTGGACATTGTAAAACGTATACATATTGTTCAATAGAAAACAAATACATATAATAAAACAAATACGTATTTATTTAATTTGTGAGCCAATAATACCACGAATATTAGGTATCACTTATTCCTCTTTTATCATATCAAATGTATTTTTTCTCAAATTTTCGGTGTAAATTAGCCGTTTCGGTTTATAACTTATGAAAACAGGTATGTGGTATTATCAGAATATAAAATACATATGCCAGAATGTAATATTTCTTTTTATAATTAATTATTAAATTAAAAACAAAT